GGAGCCCTTAAAACACTTCATTTCCATCCAGGTCAGGGGTGGGGGGTGGGGGCAGCAAGGGAGCCCTTGAAACACTTCATTTCCAGATTGGGGGGACGGGACTAAGGGGTGAGGTGCGGGGGGGGCGAGGGCAGCAAGGGCAGCGGTCACTGGAGCCCTAAAAACACTTCATCAGCGGGGTGCTTTGCTCTTGCTTGGTTGGTCTTATGCAGGCGTGGCACAGTAGGTTGGTGTTGCGTTCTTTCTTGCGGGGTTTGCTTCCTAGTTTCGGCTGAGGTTTACGGCATGACCTTCCCGACATGGTCAGAGGAGTTCTTGACTGTTCTTTGCTCGTGTGGCGGTGATGGTTGTTTCTCATGTTTTTTGATTGTACTTTGCGTGTCGCATCTGTCGCAGCTGGTTTCTTGCAGGGGCATCCCACCGTGCTGCCAGTGGCGGGACCTTCGCCAACGAGGCTTTGGACGACATTTAGACTTGTATGGAAGGAATTGGAGCACCTCCAGGGTGTTGGGTGCAGGCCCCGAGCAAGCAAGCGGTTATCATGAAGAAGGCAGATGTGTGCGTGAGTTGTTCAAGTGCATCTGAAACTTCGGTGCATGCGGAAAGAATTGGAACATGTCCAGGAAAATGGCAGTGAATACAGTTTCGTGACGGATGCCGCAGAGGACGATGAGGTGTCCAGCTTCAGATGATGTGACCATAAGTTTTGGGTTTGTGTCTGTTAACAGGCATATATGGAGCGGCTTCGTCGCTTGCAGCCACCGGAGGCGCGAATGTTTTCATTCGTCTTGATCACAGGATTCATTGCGCCTGCCGGCCTTCCCGGAGCCCCGGAGGGGGCGCGTGGGGCGCATGGGCCCGCGCGGTGAGGGCTGGGGAGGACGCCGAGGCGGCTTCCCCCGAGGGATGCGCTCGCGCGGCAAGATGGGCCCGCGGAAGTCCCAAAGCCTCACTTAGCCATCCTCAATCCTCAGTTCCCCATTAACCTGAGCGTAATCTAAGCCACAAGCCGCCCGAACTTCTTGAGCCCTAAACCCTAAACCCTAACCCTAAACCCTAAACCCTAAATCCAAAATCTAGTGCAGATCGCTGAACGCTGAAAGTTGGTACCCAAAGCTATGAGGGTGTAGGTGTAGGAGTTAGGGTTTAGGGTTTAGGGTTTACGGTTTAGGGCTTAGCGGTTTTAAGGTTGTAGGGTTTTAGGGTGTTAGGGTTTTAGGGTTTTAGGGTTGTAGGGTTTTAGGGTTTTAGGGTATTCGGGTTCTAGGGTTTAGGGTTTTAGGGTTTTAGGGTTTTAGGGATTTAGGGTTTTACGGTTTTAGGGTTTTAGGGTTTAGAAGACCCTTTAGGGTGTAGGAGTTAGGGGGGTTCAAAGGGTTTAGGGTTCGTTCAGGGGTATAAGGAGCATTAAGGAACAAAGTGCACTTGTTGCAATGAAGGCCCGCTTGTGGTCCGTGATTTCGATCAGCTATACATCTCGGGCGCCGGTGCTCGGCGCCGTCGTTGCAAAGCTTCAACCCCTCTGAAAGCTGAGGAGGGGTTAGGCTTGCTGAGACTCACCCTAGACCCGAAACCCTAAACCCTAAACCCAAAAGGCAGCTGCCAGGATGCAGTCACACGACTGCAGGTCCTTTCCATCTCGGGCCCGCCTTAGCAGAACCTTGCTTGGTGGCCTCTTAGATCCCTTCGAAAGCCGAGGAGGGAAAAGCTTGCTCGACACAAAATGGTTAGGGTTTAGGGTTTAGGGTTTAGGGTTTAGGGTTTAGGGTTTAGGGCGTGCCAAACGGGAGCGCGCTTTGGGAGCGCGCGGTAGTATGCAGACCTACCCACCCCAAGACCGCCCACTTACAACTCTCAAGGAGTTAAGACCTTTTATTTTTTTTACAAAGCATCACATGAGTCAGCACTCACGCCCTTTTTGGGGATTTCCACAAGGTGCGTGCGGAAACGAGGCAGGGTCCGTGAAGACAGCTTGGGTTGGCGCGAAGGGGCTATGAAGGGATGGGCTAGGAACAGACAAAGGCAGCGAGGCTTGGTTGGCGCGAAGGGGCTCCAGCCAGGAAGAACACACAGTGAACTGCTTGGGTCGGGCAGAGGGCCACGGAAACAGGGCTGGTGTGGCGGATAGCTCGGCTTGGCGCGAAGGGGGTAAGGTGGGGTGCCGGGTCAGGGTCAGGACCAGGCACAAATTTGCAGCAAACGGAAGCGAGGCAGGACAGATTGGGTTGGTGCGAAGGGGCGAAAGCCAGGGAGAGCGCCCCGAAACAGGACACAAACTGGTGTGCGGACAGCTTGGCTTGGCGCAAGGGGGTAATATGACTCGAACAGGCCAGAGGACAGGGCAGAGCCAGGGCCAGGGCGCAAAACTAGTCAGGGCCAGGGCCAGGGCCAGGGCCAGGGCCAGGGCCAGGGCCAGGGCCAGGGCCAGGGCCAGGGCCAGGGCCAGGGCCAGGGCCAGGGCCAGGGCCAGGGCCAGGGCCAGGGCCAGGGCCAGGGCCAGGGCCAGGGCCAGGGCCAGGCAGGGCCAGGGCCAGGGCCAGGGCCAGGGCCAGGGCCAGGGCCAGGGCCAGGGCCAGGGCCAGGGCCAGGGCCAGGGCCAGGCCAGGCCAGGGCCAGGGCCAGGGCCAGGGCCAGGGCCAGGGCCAGGGCCAGGGCCAAGGTTTGGCCCCTAGCTTGACGTGAAGGGGGTAAGGTGGGGTGCCGGGCCAGGTCAGGTCACAAGCGACGGAAACAAGGCAGGGTCCGTGAAAACCCAGGGCCAGGGTCAGGGCCAGGGCCAGGCCCAGGGCCAGGGCCAGGGCCAGGGCCAGGGCCAGGGCCAGGGCCAGGTCCAGGGCAGGGCCAGGGCCAGGGCCAGGGCCAGGGCCAGGGCCAGGGCCAGGGCCAGGGCCAGGAATGCAGGAGCCGAGAATGTGCGCGGACAGCTTGGGGTTTAGGGTAATATAATATAATACAGTGACTACTGCTGTCTCGGCCTGTGCCTGCCTGGAGGGTAAGCCTGCCTGGAGGCCAGCTCGGTCGCCCGCCTGGGGCTCCCTCGCAGGGTCTCACTGAGCGCTCGACCAGCGCCCGCCTACCCCAAAAGACAAGAGAGTGGGGTGGCGGGCGGGTTTAGGGGGTTAGGGTTTAGGGTTTAGGGTTTAGGGTTTAGGGTTTAGGGTTTAGGGTTTGGGGTTTAGGGTTTAGGGGTTTACGGTTTAGGGTTTAGGGGTTAGGGTTTAGGGAGCCAGGATGCAGTTGCACGCTCCAAAAATCGGTTGCCGGTTGCTTACATCTATAATGGCAGCTGCAAGTGCCTTGCGGGTGCGCACGCGGCTTCTTTCAAGTGCTGAGTCCTACCTAGATTAGCTGTTTGCGCGTGTCTGTGTTTGTGTGGTGCCAGGATGGAGGGAGCGAGGTTCCCTTTGTAATCCTTTAGAGGGTATACAGGTTTGTATGAGGGGATGTAAGGTACGTAAGCAACGCACCCAAAACCCTAGACCCTAGACCCTAAACCCTAAACCTTGAACCCTAAACAGCTCAAGAGTGCAGAGCACCGCTGATTCAAGGCTGAGCGTTTCAGGAGGCAGAGAGGGTAAGCCCTCAATCCTAAACCCTTGGGACCCGGTGCCGAAACCCTAAACACCCTATTCCCCAAAGCCTATAGGCCCCTAAACCCTAAACCCTAAACCCTCAACCCTAAACCCTCTAAACCCTCTAAACCCTCTAAACCCTCTAAACCCTCTAAACCCTCTAAACCCTCTAAACCCTCTAAACCCTCTAAACCCTCTAAACCCTCTAAACCCTCTAAACCCTCTAACCCCTCTAAACCATCTAAACCCTCGAGACCCTCTAAACCCTCTAAACCATCTACGCCCCCTAAAGCCTAAGCCGGACTTTTGTTGCCAAGACTCTAAGTTTCCCAACCCATGGCGACGTTTGGCGGCGTGATGAACCCCATGCTGAACCTCAAGCCCATGACGCACGTGCCAGGCACAAGGGCTCTGGGTTTAGGGTTTAGGGTTTCGGGTTTAGGGTTTAGGGTTTAGGGTTTAGGTTTCAGGGTTGAGGGCGATTATAGCTACTTATACCGAAAAAGTATATACTTTTTTCCAGGGTCTACTCCAAGTAGGGCGCTAATATAGGGCTCGAAGAATTCTACAAAAACTTTTTTCCAGGGTCTACTCCAAAGTAGGGGGATATTTCTACAAATAATATTCTCTTATGGCCCCTGTATGCTGAGACGATAGTAACCCCCAAAACCCTGTTCTAATCATGAAAGCCCCTATATTTATACAGGTTTTCCGACAGCCTAAACCCTTGACCCTAAACCCTAAACCTAACCCTAAACCCTTTTGTCGGCAGTAGTGAGGTCTAGGGTTCACGAGACGGTGGTTCCCGGGGTAGGTTCGCCCTAAACCCCTCAACCCCAGCCCAGTTCGGATTCATTTGTAGCTCGGCTCACGGCTTCTCTATTGTTCTGCTTTTTAGGGTTTAGGGTTTAGGGTTTAGGGTTTAGGGTTTAGGGTTTAGGGTTTAGGGTTTAGGGTTTAGGGTTTAGGGTTTAGGGTTTAGGGTTTAGGGTCCTCAACCCCAGCACCCTTTTGTATTGTTCTGCTTTTTCGGCGCCAGTCGTACGTCGAGCTACGGTTTGTAACGCACACACACACACACACACACACGGACAAGCAAGCACGCGCGCGCGGGTGGTGCCCGCCCGCCCGCCCGCCCGCCCGCCCGCACGCACGCGCGCGCACACACACACACACACACACCCACACACCATCACACGCCCACACACGCACAGCTTCTTTAGAATCGAAGGTTTTAGTTGCCATCGCTGTATGTTCTCCAAATTCAGTTTTTGTACATCTGGCCTTCTTCGTTGTAGAGACAACCCGTGCCATTTCCCGCCCAGCGTGTAGCCCAACTTGCCGTCGTTTCGGAGCCGTCTGGCTTGTCAGCTCACCGCACGGTGCATCAGTTTGAAGCAGTGTCCTCGACAGCAAGCCTTGGCCACCATGCGCACTGGCGAGGACCACGGCGCGTCAGATGGCGCAGAGGATGCATCGCTGCTGAGGCGGCCCAACACGCGCAACACCCTCTGGAGCTATATTGGACAGGAGGTAGAGATCAAGTACACGGTCACGCTGCGAGAGAAGATGCTGACAGCGGACCCCAGCAAGGCGATACGCGCCCAGCCTTTCAAAGGGTCACATCATGGCGGGCAACATGTGGTCGTGAGCTTCCCAGGTCAGGGGTAGGTTTGAATGAATGTGATTTTAAAATCTTCTTAACCTTAATCCCCTATGTAGGCCTCATAAAGTCATAGAAATTCAATTTGTAGAGCTCCCAAACCTACCCCAGAGGTGTTCATGGAGATGCGTGGAACATTCTGACAGGGCAAGATGAAGAGTTCCAACGGCGATCTCTTCCCAGCTTCACAACAACCTGTGTCTTCCTGCCGAAAAGGGAGCACGGTCTGTTTGAACATGGAAAGCATGCGTGCTACTGCGATGTCCTCGCGAAGAATTCTGAGAAGCCGATTCCCGAGGTCGATGGTGAGAAGATCGGGTGCTTATGGTACGAAATCTGGACGGCGAACACACAACAGGCTTACGGCAAGTCCGATGTTGCAGATTATCTCGTCGTGACGAAGTTGGATGGCACACTCGGAAACTCACAAAGAGCGGAAAAGAAGTTCTTGGAGCAAAGTGGGTGCGACTTCAAGACAATCAGCATCGAGCAGTTTGCAGACCTCGCCATTAACAGCGTGGATGCCTTTAATGTGTCTGAGGTTGTTCGCGTCAAGGTTGCATACCGTCTCAAGACGTGTTCCATTCTAGTTTTGTTAATGTTAGTTCTACTACTCTGCCTACCCCTCCTCATTCTCCTAAAGCCTGAAAAGGCTGTTTGAACTATTTTCTTGGATGGTTCCAGATGCTTCCTCTAACGGCCAGGAATTAATTCTCACAGCTTAACTATTGGAAGAAGGATCATCCAGTTCCAGTTTGCAAGCAATGGGCAGATATTTAGTCCTTGTGGCACACGAAAGCCGCACGAGAAACGACTCAGTGTAAGCCACTTCGTTTCACCAGCATGGCTGCCGTACGTTTTAAGGCATGCTTGAGAAACAGGAGCGCGTGTCCACATCAATGGCTGTGAAACCCGTACCTCCCTCTAGGACCTTGACGCTTTACTTGCTGGTTGTTGGTTTCAGGATATAGCGTTAGTGTCTACGAGTGCGTACGCAAATCGGATAAGGTTAGTTTTATAGCGTTCAGCGCATGCAAGCGCTTTGCATTCACGCGTGGCTGTTCACGTGAGGAGAACCAAAGCCCTTAGCCCTAAACCCTCGGACCCTAAACCCTAAACCCTAAACCCTCAACCCTCAACCCTAAACTCTAAACCCTAAACCCTAAACCCTAAACCCCCCAGCTCACGCAAAACAGCGCGAGCCTTCTTGCCAGCATCTTATTGACATCGTGGGCATGCGGGGTGCATGACGATTGAGCACGGCTCGAGGGAGAGCAAGGGTTTAGGGCTTGGGGTTTAGGGTTTAGGGTTTAGGGTTTAGGTTTAGGGTTTAGGGTTGAGGGTGTAAGACCCTGCCACCTGCGTCCGGAATCTAGAAGGCCAAGGGTGTGATGAGCCCTAAACCCTAAACCCTAAACTCTAACCCTAAACCCTAAACCCTAAACCCTAGACCCCAAAGCCTAAACACTAAACCCTGAACCCTAAACATGGTGGTGTCGTAAGTGCTTTCAGCGCCTGAAACGTAGCGTCGCGCACTGGTTGAGGGTTTTTTAGGGTTTCGGGTTTGGGGTTTAGGGTTTAGGGTTGAGAGCCAAGGGACTAAAGGAGGGACCCTTATAAGGGACCTTAGGGGTTCCTTGGGGGGCATCTAGTGGCTACTTGGGTACGTAGGGGCTATATAAGGTATATATTGGGGTTATATAACCCTAAACCCTAAACCCCAAACCAAACCCCAAACCCAAAACTGGCCCAAAACCCTAAACCCTGCCCACGACCCCCTTGTCGAGATACCCATAATTTACTAGGGTCCTGAGTGGTACCCCTATTCTCTTTTTTTTTCCGGTCAAGCATCCCGTGTACAATCTCCTATAAACAAGGAGTGGGCCCGGAGGAGATTTTAGGGTTTAGGGTTTAGGGTTTAGGGTTTAGGGTTTAGGGTTTAGGGTTTAGGGTTTAGGGTTTAGGGTTTAGGGTTTAGGGGGCATCCAGTTGCTAGGCTCGACCTCCGCGACCTGGGCCTACCAGCAGGTTGGCTGCCTCGTTGCTGGGGTGGGAGTCGACGGTTTTATCATGGCTGTAGGGTTTAGGGTTTAGGGTTTAGGGTTTAGGGTTTAGGGTTTAGGGTTTAGGGTTTTATCATGGCTGTCTTCTGTTTGGCTCTTAGGACTTCCGATGTGTGTGACTCAATGAGGAGGCGAGAAGTGTAACTTGAAGAGCCGGTTCAGAAGGCAGCTAAGTTATTGCTGAGAGGACATGATCTGTGGACTTCGAGGGTTTGGGGCCGGGGGGGTGGAAGGGAGGTAGGTTGCTTTTCTTAGAATTAGAAAAGGCGTCTTGTGTTTTTCTGCATTTCCAGGAGGTGGTTTTGCGACCTTTGGGGCAAAGCAGTTGCTCAACTGCCCTGGCTGGAAGCCTGTGCTCCGTACCTCCCTCCCACTCAAGCATGTGCGCAGTTGCTTTCACACTTGGGGTCTCACGGTAGAGTCTAGAGCTTAGGGTTTGATTTACATAAAGCTAAAGAGGTTATGGAGCCCCCAAACTACCCACTTGAGAACGGCGAAGGCTGTGCATAGTCCGAAACTGGAAATTCGTAGTGTGATCTTCGCACTGCGACGTGCAACGCATGTCTCTGCCTACTTCAGACGGCAATCGGGCGATTTTCGCGCGATTTCAGGAGGGGGGTTTACGAAAATAAGGGATCCCCTAGTACAAACCCCCAAATAGTAGGATTCCATTACAAGAAGGACCACAATAGGGTACATCGGGATGTTCCCCTTATACGAACAGTCCTTAATAGGGATTATAGTACCCCTTATGATAATCCCTACGAAGGACTGCTAGTAGCAGGGGGAACCCTAAACCCTAAACCCTAAACCCTAAACCCTAAACCCTAAACCCTAAACCCTAAACCCTAAACCCTAAACCCTAAACCCTATACCCTAATCTCGGAAAACCCCCAGGAAGAAGGCTTGGGTGTGGTTGAGTTCTACGACAGCGACGTGTCGGAAGGTGAGCTCGACGATGCAATTGGCGAGCTCCAAACAGTAACTTAGTTTAGGGTTTTAGGGTTTTAGGGTTTCGGGTTTCGGGTTTAGGGTTTAGGGTTTAGGGTACCTATAGCCCAGAGTTGAACTTTAAACTTTTTGGGCTTCCTGATGTAGTAGGTATAGTAAAGTTTAACCTTTTTTCCCCTTGGTTATTGGAGAAGTAAGGTAAACGAACTTGCAAGCAGGGCGCCGGAAGACCGGCCTCGAAGCAGCCTGCCTTTTCATGTCATTTTTGTTGTGGATGCCAGCTCATCCATGGCAGCGCCAGATGTCAGTGGGCAGACGCGCTTGGCGGCGGTCTTTGATGCTTGCGCAGGGCTTGTTTGTCAACAGCAGCGAGAAGATTCTGCCCAGGCGGGTGACTGCTACACGCTGATCTCTTTCGACACCTCGGCGCAAGTCTGGTTCAAGAGGCAGGCGGCGCAAGAAGCCCAGCAAAGCATTCAAGATGTTCGTCATGGATTGCTGCCTGTGGTTCATGCAACCCGCTTTCATGCCGCGTTCAAGAAGCTGGCAGAAGTCCTCGGCAGTGGGAAGAAGCCGGCGGAGGACGTGCGGGTGATTTTCCTTTCTGACGGCGCTCCACATCAAGGCAAGGGCCTAGGAGCCCGTGGCCACGATCGAACGGAGGCGGGGGATTCGAGTGCGGCAATGTTGGTGGAGAGCTTAGAGACAGAGCTTTTGGGAAGCCCCGCCGTCTGCGGCATCAAGCAGCTGTTGATGTACACAGTGGCCTTCGGCAGTGATGTTGCAGAGTTTGAGCGCTTCTTGAAACCCTTGTCAGAGCGCACTGGTGGCGAGCACTATGTCAGCAGCCTGAGCAATTTTGACTTGCGCCGGGCATTTGGCACGATAGGCTCGTCCATCACCACCACTCGCACCTCCGTGAGCGCAGCACCCATCGTTGGATCTCCGTGCCAACAGCGCTTCGACTCGTCCTCCACAGGCAAGACATGCGAGCGAACCTGCACCATCACGCGTCTTGCGCAGCTTCGCAGCCAAGACAAGCGTGCCGGGTTCTCGGACTACAGGCAGATACCCAAATGCCCCTATGCCGACGTCGTGGTTGACAGCATGCCCTTCGCCTGGGGTGGCATGCGCTTGGTGTACGGCTTGCAAGATGCCTGGAACAGAGACAAGTCTAGCAAGAAGCCTATTCAGATGGTTGCTAAGCGGCTCATTCGGAAGGAGCATGCCACCTTCAAGGACATGCTGCCTTTTTGCCTTAGCACGGAGACGGCCATCATGTTTAGGACAAACTTCCACCGGGAGTTGAAAAAGCTTGGTGCAGAGGCCCAGATTTTCTTCGTTCCCTGCTACTTGTACAGCTACAGCCGGAATGGAACTTCCGACAAGAATTACTTCGTGGCTGAGCAGTACCTCGAGGGCGAGTTTGTCAAGTTCAACAGCAATAATGGCTACGTTAACGAGACTCATCCGTCCAGTGAGTTGATGCAGGCATCCGGTGTTAAGAAAGCAAGGCTTGGGGTACTTGCAGCGTTTAGGGGGTTTAAGGTTTAGGGGTCTTGAGCTGGCGTGGAGTTCGACTGCTTCACGTTGCTGGGTCTTTTTGGAATTTTGCGCCACAGGCCTTCAGTCACTACACCTTCGTGAAGAGCAAGGGCAAGCTTCTCGTCGTGGACCTGCAGGGGGCGCGCGGGCGGCGTGAGGGGTTGAGGGTTTAGGGTCCAGGATTCAGGGGGCCTCGAAACCCCAGACCTACCATAGGGGTCAGAATACTCATACAAACACTCATACCACCCGAAACTTTATTTTAATTATTGTGGGCCCTATACTACATCTCGAAAGTATCTTGGGCTTCAGGGTCCGGGGTTCGGCGTGCGGAGCCCGCCCGGAGCGGCTTTGCATGCGTGCCAGGTGCCACGAAGGGCTTGGCTTAGGGTTCACATTCAGAGCAGAGTGACTACAGGAATCTCTAGTGCTTTAGAAGCGACGGCATGTTGAAGACAGACCCGAGAATGCTAATTAGCCTTCCTGAGTACCGAAGAAAAAAACACAGTCTTGAGAATCGCCTGCTTGGAGGTTCATGGTACTTATTAACCAATTATTATCACCGTACTTGTAACTGTACTTATAGCCATATACGGGCACCAAAAGGGCTGAGAGGTGGGTTTAAGTACAGTTATAGTTGGTTAACAAGTACCATGAACCTCCAAGTGAGTCTATCGGTCAGCAACTCAAGAGTATGCACGAACCTCGCATCTTAAGCCCTAACCCAAAACCCGGAACCAGGCGTTGACACGTCAAAGCACATGAGTTCGACATGGGCAAGACCAGTATTCGCTAATTGCTTAAGAACCACCCCCCAAAATAAAGCATTTTACTTATAAGGGCAATATGGGGAATAGCATTTTTGCTGTGTTTTTTTTGGAAGTTCTTAAGCAAATAGTAGGTAAGGTTGAGTCTCTTTTTCCTGGGAGGCCGTTGACAATGGCTGCCTCATGCTGACCGACCCCCAGGTGTTGAGCAGGGCCAAGTCAAAAGATCGAGTGCTCCTTGGGTGATCTGAGTTGAGGGGTCGATACCCGAGCCCCCTAAACACTAAACCCTAAACCCTAAACCCTAAACCCTTAACCCTAAACCCTAAACCCTAAACCCTAAACCCTAAACCCTAAACCCTAAACCCTAAACCCTAAACCCTAAACCAACCTCAAGCCCTCAACTGCCCAGGTTCGGTCCCGGCGACTTGGGGTTCGACGGCCCCTTGCCAGCTGGCTGGGGGGGGGGGGGGGGAGGAGCAGGGTTTGGGGTTCAGGGTTTAGGGTTTAGGGTTTGGGGTTTGGGGTTTAGGGTTTGGGGTTTAGGGTTTGGGGTTCAAGGGTTTGGGGTTTGGGGTTTAGGGTTTGGGGTTTAGGGTTTGGGGTTCAAGGGTTTAGGGTTTAGGGTTTAGGGTTTGGGGTTTGGGGTTTGGGGTTTGGGGGGTTTGGGGTTTAGGGTTCGGGGTTCAAGGGTTTAGGGTTTAGGGTTTGGGGTTTGGGGTTTGGGGTTTGGGGTTTGGGGTTTGGGGGTTCAGGGTTTGGGGGTTTAGGGCTTGGGGGTTTAGGGTTTGCACTGACCTCTACGCCCTAAATCCTGACGTCTTGGGGCGTTGGCTGCTCCTGTGCCCGAAGAAGTAGAGCCCAGAATCCAAAACCCTACATCTATACCCGAAACCCTAAACACTAAACCCTAAACCCTAAACCCTAAACTCTGAACCCTAAGCACTAAACATTTGAAGCTCTATGCCCGAAACTCGCTTTCGGGGGTGTAAGGCTGGAGGTCGACCCCCTTTTAGGCTTCAGACGTTTAGTTTGAGGCTTCAGGGTTTTCGGGCCAATGGTTTAGGGTTTAGGGTTTAGGGTTTAGGGTTTAGGGCTTTTAGGGTTTCAGTATTTAGGGGTTAAGGTGCTTAGGATTTCAGGATCTCGGATTTTGGGTTTGGGGTTGTGAGGGTTTAGGGTTTAGGGTGATTGTGCGCCCACAAGGCATGAAGGCGTTCTTTGCGACGCACGAGTGTGGGGAGACCTGCGTTGCCATGAAGCTCCTAGACGCTAAGCTGCATTGTGGGGTAGGGTTTAGGGTTTCGGGTTTAGGGTATAGGGTCTAGGGTCTAGGGCTTTGGGTTTTGGGTTTAGGGTTTAGGATTAGGCTAAACTTAGTAGAACCTAGGAGCCAAACCCTACACTGGACTGCCGTCCTTCTCGGTAGTTCCGGGAGCTCTGACCAAACATGCTTGGCTGTCTCCGAAAATCCGCTGGAGGGGGGGGCGTGTCCCGTATTCTTTTAGGGTTTAGGGTTTAGGGGCCCTCTAAGGTGCATTCTGTATTTGGGAGGGGTACCCGTATGTTGCCAAATGCCCGTTCGGGGTTGTACGTAAGGAGGTTTCAGACTCTAAACACCAAAGCCTAGACCCTAGATGCTTGTGGAAGGGCGGTGGATGCTCCGGAGACGGTGCCCTAACCCGAGAGTCCCCACGTGTTGAATCCATGGGTGCGACGCCCGGAGGAGAAGCAGAAGAAGTTTCAGCAAGACATGGAGCTTAAGCGTCGGCAGTGCGTGTACCTGGGCGTGTCATGAAGCGAGTTTGTGGCCTTTGATATGGCTGGGTTTGGGCGTTAGGGCTGGAGGTTCATGGTTTCTTGGTTTCTGGGTTTAGGGTGCAAGGATTTTGGGTTTAGGGTGGGGCAGCAAAGGGCTTATGGTTTAGGGTTTAGGGTTTAGGCTTTAGGGTTCAGGGTTTAGGGTTTAGGGTGATACGGCGTAGGGCTTACAACTCCCAGGACTCACAGGCCCATAGCAGGTTCAGGAGGAATTTATGCTGTGCATTCCTTTGTTTGTTAGGGCCCACCGTAAACGATAACCCTAAACCCTGAACACTAAACCCTAAACCCTAAACCCTAAACCCTAAACCCTAAACCCTAAACCCTAAACTCTAAACCCGTAACCCTAAACCCTAAACCCTAAACCCTAAACCCTAAACCCTAAACCCTAAACCCTAAACCCTAAACCCTAAACCCTAAACCCTAAACCCTAAACCCTAAACCCTAAACCCTAAACCCTAAACCCTAAACCCTAAACCCTAAACCCTAAACCCTAAACCCTAAACCCTAACCATAAACCCTAAACCCTAGACCCTACCTAGACCCTAGACCCTAGACCCTAAACCCTAGACCCCACACCCTCAACCCTAAACCCTAAACCCTAAAACCCCTCAACCACAAGCCCTCAGGATATGCCTCAGCTCCGTACGCAGCACCTGCTTTCGGCCTTGTGGCCATTCCCTTGCTTGTGAGGATCGGGGTTTGGGGACTTTCAACCCTAAACCCTAAACCCTAAACCCTAAACCCTAAAGCCTAAACACCCTGAGCCCCCTAAACCCCCTAAACCCCCTAAACCCCCTAAACCCCCTAAACCCCCTAAACCCACCCTAAACCCACCCTAAACCCACCCTAAACCCACCCTAAACCCCCCCTAAACCCCCTAAACCCCCTAAACCCCCTAAACCCTGAACCCTGAACCCTAAGGCGTTAGGATCTTAAATTTGGGATCTTCACGTCCGGGAGGCTGCCTGGAGGGCCCTCCTTCCCCGAATATGGGTAGGTCTCTAAATGGGGGTCCCTTTTGGGAGTCCTTCGTTCACGAGTGTAGGACAAAAAAGGGACCCAAATTTGGAGAACTACGCATATCTACAGAGCAGCGTTTTGTTTTTCTTTGAAATGGTGCGGTTTCGAGATCAAAAGACTTGTTGGAGCTGACTAGGCTTCGGGTTTTACAAATTGGCAGTCTGCTATTTCAAGCTCTGACGCGGTGCTGGATTGCAACCTACTACGGCGGCATTTCGGGTTTCGGGTGTTATACTTATGTGCTACGCGTACTCGCACCTCGTGAAGGGCCCTATGCTAGCTTTGGTTCTTGAGAAGTGGACGGTCTTGCCAAAAAAAGGAATGCGGGTTTATGCCCTGAGCCTTCCTCCAACCTTGAGGGCAGGTTTGCGAGAAACCACAGGATTTGCGTGCGCGCCCGCCTAAAACAAGGAGAAGCAAAACAAACCGCCAGACCACCTGCCCACCCCTAGCCTGGGAAGCTAGCAGGCGCGCGCTAGCCTCGCCAGGGAGGACGCGCCTGCCCCAAGAGTTGCAGGCATGATCCAACACCCTCCAGCCACGAGCGCGCAGCGACGCTTGAGGCGAGGGGACCAATGCCTGAATGCATGCTATCTTCTAGAAGGATGCCGCCCGAAACCCCGCCCACAGCACCAGCAACCACACCCAAACAACTTTGGGCGTAGCGACTGGGATGGACAGAGGTGCACCCACCCATGCTGCCAAAGCAGACACGGAGCAGGCACCGGGCCCCCCACCTGCACGCACGGCAGAGCAGAGGTGCAACCAAGGAGAGAAGACAGCAATAATCGCGAAGGGCGCAGAGACGGAAAACCAGACCCCCCCCCCCACCCTGAGCGCTCACAGACGCTCTACGTAGGACCAAAATTAATTAACCCACCTGCCCCCCACCGAGCCCTCTGGCGAATGCACGGAGACACAACAACCAACAAAACCCCCCGCCTCCCTCCACAGACCGTGAGCGCACCGGGCGCTCTGCCCGAGGGCTGCCCAGCAGAGGGCGGCTCTTAGCCTGTTTGTGCCCGCCTAAAACAACTGGGTCTTGGAGTACTATACTTTAATGTTGTTTTTGGTTCTGGTTTCCTATTATAGCAGCTTATACCTAAAAAGTATATCTTTTTTTTTCAGGGTCTACTCCAAAGCTAAGACAAGGAGAAACAAAACCAACCGCCCAGCCACCTGTAGCCTGGGAAGCTAGCAGGCACGCGCTAGCCTTGCCAGGGAGGATGCGCCTGCCCTAAGGGCTATACAGGCATGATCCAACAGGATTTACAGGACTATACCCTAGAGCCCTGAAGTCGTAAACCCTGCAGGATTGCGCCGTGGAGCTCATTGCCCGTGGGGAGAAATGCTCCCTCTGCCGAGTGGCCATTGACCACTACGACAAGGCCATGTTTTTGTGTGGCGAGGGTTGATGCTTTAGGCTTTGGAGCTTAGGGTTGAGAGGGCTTAAGCGTGTTGAGGCTTTTGGTTTGGGCTTTAGGCCTTGTGTTATGGTGGCTTTAGTGTTTAGTTTTCCTGAATCCGTTTAGTCCATTGCCGGTTCTGGGTCTTCGGAGGTATCAGCACAGGTTCGCGGTTTCAGCGCAGATTTGGTGGGTGGCTTCTTTGTCTAGCTTGCCGGGGACTGTGGTCGTAGGTTTTAGGGTTTAGGGTACCCTGCCCAACAGGACTCAGAGGTCTACAGATTTTCGAGCTTCAGGGCAGCTAGGTGTGGTGCAGATTTCGGGGTTTCATTTTGAGTTTCTCTTAAGGAAAGGCGTATGTATGTTTAATGTCGTAAGTATGTTTACCGTCAGAAAGGAAAGCATACCATGTACTTTGTGTCCCTCTGCCCTCAATCCTCGAACCATTAAACCCTAGAATGCAGAACCTTAAGCCCTTTAGTCCCAGACCTGCAAGCCCGTACCCTGAATCTGAAGCCTCGAAACCCGAATTGGGTTTAGGGTTCAGGGTTTATACTGGGTTTCCTTGCTTCGGGCAGGGCAACTTCACCAAGACCTTCGTGCCGCCACGTGCACCGCAAAGCCGACCCAAGCGAGCAGTTGCTAAGCCGGGCGCCGGGTACCTTGGATGTTCTTGGAACCATATTGCCAATTCTTATTAAGGGTTTGGGGCAGTTTCGGGTTGCCATTGTTGCCATATTCAGGGCTGGACAGCTTCTTCCCTGTTCGGGCCTCAACTAGGAAGGACTAACATGCCATACTCCATTCCTGCCCCTAGATTTAGAAGGAAGTGCACCCAAGCACTCGAGGTACAACCAGCGCCTGGCCGCCGAGCTCGGCTGGCAGCCGGGGGGAGTCGGAGTCGGGGCAGTGCAGGACCTGCTCCTCCCCGCGAGGGCTCCTGCCCCCAAGCCGGCCCCCAAGGCCTCCCGGCGGCCTGCCCTCAACTTGCGGGCCTCCAGGCACATGGACCGGCCTGTCTTAGGCCACAGCAACTACAAGACGAACATCTGCGAGTTCTGGATGCAGGGTGAATGCAACCGTGGAAGCCAATGCACCTTTGCCCATGGCTTCCATGAGTTGCGCCGTTGACTCTGTGTTCGAGATCTGCCCGAGCCCCCCTCCCTCCGTCCTTTGGTGGTTTCCAAAATTGAGGTACCTGATTGGGGGTCGTTGGTGTAAGGGAATTCTACTATTTGGGGGTTTATTTTAGGGGTCCCCTATTTTCGCAAGCCCCCCATTCGCGATTGTATGGTGGGGGACTCGTATAGCATTGTACAGTTGAGTACACTTAGCTTGCATGCGCTTTAGGAGCTTCATGACTCGATGGCCGTGTTCAAGAGAAAAGTGATGCTCACTTGAGTGACTGCTCTGCTGCTTTCAGGGTTTGGGCTGTTTGTGGCTCCCTCCAGCTATAGTTAGTTGTTGAGAGTCAGCACAAAGGCTTTAGTTGCTTCTGGAGTCAAGGGTTCCCGGCTGCAGTTGCTCCTCGCTGCAAGCATGCGAAAGCACGAAGGGCCGCAGCAAGAATACAGCAGACCGATGCATGCAATTCAGAACAGTGCAAACCTTCGGTGCTCCCCAGCACTCCGCTCCCCCCCTCCCCCTCCCCCTCCCATTGTTTCGGAACTTTCACACGCGGATAATCTGAGGATTCCGAAGGCCTTCATAGGCAGAGATCTATGTTCGACTCACTACGATTATGTGCGCGGCCTCGGCCATGGCGCGTTCGGCTGACACCACCCCACGTGCCTCCGCAAGGCTGGCTGTTGGTTCTACTGGCTGTAGCTAGGCAGGACCTTGGGGGATATGGTCTGTTTTCCCTTATTGGGGTTCAGAGGCTCAGATTTTCGAATCTTGTTCAGAAGGTTTACGGGGCAAGCCTAGGCAGCCTAGGCAGCTTTTGGATCATGGGCATGCCCAGACGAAGGGGTGTAGGGTTTAGGGTTCATGGGGGTCTGTTCGGGGTTTCATGGGGGCGAAAGGGCAAGAAATGAGGCGGCGCGGTATGGGGGAGACGCCAGTACCTCCTAATTTCGCAAGCTGCAGGTTTACATACAGTAGGGCTTAGACGCCATACTATAAGGGGCTGATTAATTTTAGTAGGGACCCTAATCGCAAACGCTCGGGAGGGAAGGACACTGGACGACCCCGCAGATCTCCAACAATCATGGAAAAGTTGCGACTGCAGTACAACGACCATGGCAATTTGCATTGACTTTCAAGGTGGAATTGCCTGAGCGGCATTAACAGGCAAACCGTGCAAACGAGTGTCTCTAGCCCCGGCAACCTTGAACCCTGAACCCTAAATCACGCAGAGGCCTGATTGCGCATGCCCGTGTGCAGGTGCTTGAGCAACAGCACGGTATGAAGCTTATATTGCTTGTGACAGATTGTGTGCGCGTGCACATGCCAGCGGGCAGACATCGCAAGGATGTGCAGACCCTGAACATGTGTTGATTCGTTGAGGTATATTTTGGTAATCCTAAGACCCGAATTAAACCCTGCACCCTCAACAAACAGGCGCAGCAGAACTCCAGAGTGTCGCATACCCTAAACCCTAAACCCTAAACCCTAAACCCTAAACCCTAAACCCTAAACCCTAAACCCTAAACCCTAAACCCTAAACCCTAAACCCTAAACCCTAAACCCTAAACCCCTCGTCCCTGGGTCTTCGCGATGGGATGCGGCTCGGGCCGACCAGCTGCTCAGGCAGCAGCTGAACCGGCTGCTGTGGCGAAGTCCACGGCAGCGACGGAAGGGGCGCAAGTTCAGGAGGGGTCTTTCTGAAATTTGGGGGGGGGTACCTTATTGGGGTCCTTTTTATAAGGGAATCCTACTATTTTGGGGCGGTCTTAAACCCTAAACCCTAAACCCTAAACCCTAAACCCTAAACCCTAAACCCTAAACCCTAAACCCTAAACCCAGGATGCGGGTGGCGGATCTGACGGTGAGGGTGAGGCGCCCAAGCAGGCTCCTGGTCAGGAGCCCTCGGTCTTAAGCGGCCACAAAAAGTGGGTCTCATCTCTCTGCATCTTTGTCATAGTTGGGTACCATTTTGCATTTTTAAGGGTACTTAAACCCTATAAGGAATAAGAGTTTCATGTTTTGATAGTATCCCAACCATGAACTAGGCATGGTGGATGGCACCACGCTGGCCAGCGGAAGTTTCGACAGTACGGTGATGGTTTGGGACCTCGCTGCCGGACTTTGCAAGGCCACCCTGCGCGGCCACACCAACAGCGTGAAGGCCGTTTGCAGGAGGGGGGTAATGTAGGGGTCGGAACAATTACTAAGAATATTCCCCTAGGGTCCCTTGATAATTATATCCCAAAACCCTCTTCTAATTATTCAGGCCCCTATACAAGGCCCTGTGCAGGATTGATGCCACCACGTTGGCCAGCGGCGCTCGCGACAGCTCGATCAGGATTTGGGACCTCCCGTCTGGAAGTTGCCGATCGGAGCTTCGGGAACACTCGGGTGATGTGAATGCGCTGTGCCAAGTTGATGCGACGACTCTGGCGAGTGGGAGCTCGGACGACTCCATCAAAGTGTGGGACCTGTCTTCGAAGCGCTGCGTGGCAACTCTCACCGGACATGATGGCTCGGTCCTGGCACTTTGCAAGCTGGGAGAAAGCACCCTTGCCAGTGGCAGCGGGGACGAGACGATCAAGATCTGGGATCTCACCTCCCAGACGTGCACAAGCACTCTCACCGGCCACACCAGCGGCGTGCTGGCGCTGTGCAGGGTCACGCCGACTCTCCTGGCGAGTGGCAGTGGCGACAAGAGCATCAAAGTCTGGGAAATCCCTTCCGGGACGTGCGAGGCGACTCTGGAATCACACAGAGGTGACGTCTTGGCCGTGTGCAGAATCAATTCGACCACGATCGCCAGCGCAGGTGGCGACAGGGATGTACGGATTTGGGACCTGACATCGCACTCTTGCACGGCCACCTTGGCATTTCACAAGGACTCGGTTACGTCGCTGTGCCGGGTCACAAAGGGCACGACAAAGCTCGTCAGCGGAGGAAAAGACCTCCAGATTTCCCTGTGGTCGTAGACACGGCAACAGGGGCCTTGCTTCCTTGGTGGCAGTGCCCTGACGCGCAGTCGCAACAACCGCCTTCCCCTACCCCTCAAAAAAATCCTGGGGCAGCCATCTGCTTCGGAGAGAGCTGCGAGACTTGTGGGGGGACGAAGCCAGTTGCGGGGCCCTAAACCCTAAACCCTAAACCCTAAACCCTAAACCCTAAACCCTAAACCCTAAACCCTAAACCCTAAACCCTAAACCCTAAACCCTAAACCCTAAACCCTAAACCCTAAACCCTAAACCCTAAACCCTAAACCCTGTTTTGAGAAGTTTCGTGGAGGACCATACTCCGATCATCAAGTCGACTGGGTAGCATGCAAGATGCCTCGCTCGACAGAGGGAGTTACAAGGAGCCACGGTTTAGGGTTTAGGGTTTAGGGTTTAGGGTTTAGGGTTTAGGGTTTAGGGTTTAGGGTTAGGGTTTAGGGCGAGCTTATTTGCACTCGCGTTTTTCTTGAGTAGTCGGGGCAGAGACCTTTGCCGCGTGCCTTCGAACAAGCACTCCTGACCCTGCACATCCTTGGGGTATTGCTAATAGGATTCCCTTATGGTCCCTTTGTAAATATACCATCAGAAGGCCCCCGGAAAACCCTACTGTAACTATTTAGGCCCCTATAGTACAGGCTGCTCGGTGGGCTTGGCTTTGTTCGCGAACATGCTTCGTAGCTTGCCTTGCATCGGTACACGGAAGTGGTGATCTTCTGTTGCTACAGCGGCGGACTTGAGCACAGAAGAGATAGCGTAGGTGAGGCCCTCGTACACTAGTTCATAGTATGGAGGGTTCTAGCCTACTTGGAGGTTCATGGGTACTTAAAACCCCACTTATAACTGTACTTATAAGCCCCCGAATCCTTTAAGTCGGTTATAAGTAGAACTGGGGGTATAGGTACCCATGAACCTCCAAGTAAGAGACAACCATCTCAGGCCCCCAGCCCCCCGAGCCATGCTGCAGGCTCCACGACGCGCCGGCGTGCTTCAAGCTGCAGCGTCGAGCAGCCGCGGCAGAGAGAAATGGGAGGAGGCCTCTCGCCGGGTCAGCCCGTCAAAGTGGGCAGGTATGCCCTGGGCCCTAAACCCCATCGCTAAGCTCCAAGTGGCCTCAGACCCTAAACCCCTGACTCCCAAACCCTAATCTCACGCACTCTTCATGCTTAAGCAGCAGCTTTCACTTGAAATGTGGGTGCGCCCCGAGTCCCACTCTGAACCCTCGCATTGTTTGGTTACACTTTGTTGGGCCGGGCATGCGGAACCCGAAGCATCCTTGAGCCGTAGATTCTGAGCCCTAAGCATCCTCGTTTTGGGGTCTAGGGTTTAGGGTTTAGGGTTTAGGGTTTAGGGTTTAGGGTTAGCCCTAAACCCTAAACCCTAAGCTACTCCACAACCCAGACAGCATGCAAGGTACCCTGCCAAGCACAGGGTTTAGGGTTTGGTGCTTCGGGGTTCTTAGGTAAGCCACCAACCGCAGGTTGTTAGGGCTCTCAAGGAAAAGGAATCCTGAACCTTAAACCCCTCAACCCTAAACCCTAAACCCTAAACCCGATACCCTAAATTTAAACCTTAAGCATAAACCCTAAACCCTAAACCCTAAACCCTAAACCCTAAACCCTAAACCCTAAACCCTAAATCCTAAACCCTAAACCCTAAACCCTAAACCCTAAACCCTAAATTTAAGAGCCTCCGGCTCAAGCCGCCGACCCCGCTGGAGCATAGTTGAGAGGTCTAAACCCGCTCGCATGGTTCGAGATCATCCCAGCCTGCTCGGCAGAGTTCTGTGAAACGTTTGGGGGGGGGGACAAGCCTAGAAGACAGGTGGGGGGGGTGGGGGGGGGGGGAGGGGGTGGGGGGGGGGGGGGGGGGGGGGGGGGGTGGGGGGCTGGGGGGGGGGGGTGGGGGGCGGGGGGTGGGGGGTGACCCCCCCCCCCCCGCACGTTTTGGGGGGGCAGGAGGAGGTTTTCACCTCCTCAAACCCATCCAACACGCCGCCAGGGTCGGCGGACCCGAAACCCTAAACTCAGAACTGGCACGCCGCGTTGGAGCCATGAAGGCGAACGGCTCTGACCAGGATTGCAGGGTTTGGTAGTCCCAAGTTATATAGGTTCCCTAGAATGTAGTCAAGGTGGAGGGGTTTAGGGTTTAGGGTTTAGGGTTTAGGGTTTAGAGTTTAGGGTTTAGGGTTTAGGGTTTAAGGTTTAGTGCAGAAGTCTACGGGGTTGGGGTTGTACGGATCACCTGAAACCCCATATACCCTCAAAACCCCAATCCCTCTTGCCGTCACAAGAGCTAGTATAGCAGCAAGACTTGCAGTAAATTCCCAAGATAGGGGACCCCTTTTGTACCCCAAATAGAACAGAATCCCCTTAAAGGGACGCCAGGAAAAGTATCCCGCATTTTCGGAAACCCCCCCCATTTTTGTAGTGTTCTAAGATGGACCTCCGCCATGTTTGCCTGGCCCTTGGCTTAGCCGAGCGGCTGCAGCGTCGGAGCGCGTCTGCCTGCGCGCGCGGCGTACTGAGGCCAGGCTGACTGATTGGGGGCTGAGGGCTTATTAGGGTGTAGGGTCTAGGGTTGGGTTTAGGGTTTAGGGTTTAGGGTCGAGGGTTCAGGGTCTGGGTTTTGGGGTTTTGCGGGTTTAGGGGTTTTGGGGTTATATGGGGGTTTAGGGGTTTCTATAGAGGTTTAGGGCTTAGAGTTTAGGGTTTAGGGTTGCAGTCTGCAGACAAATCAGACGAAAATTTCAGACTCAGTGTTTAGGCTTGAGGGGTTTAGGGTCGAGGGGTTTAGGGTTCAGGGGTTTACGGGGTTAATAGGGTTTAGGGTTTAGGGTTGGGATGTTGCCCCCTATACTAACATTCCTTAATGGGGATTGTAATAGGGGGTACTATAGTCCCTATCAAGGACTGCAAGAAAAAGGGGGCACATCCCAAGTTTAGGGGCTTAGGGTTCAGGAATTGGGTTTAGGGTTTAGGGTTTAGGGTTTCGGGTTTAGGGTTTAGGGTTTAGGGTTTGGGGTCTCTTTGGGGTTCTTTGGGGGGTTTCTCGGGTTTAGGGGGGTTAGGGCTTAGGGTTTATTCGGGGGTTGGGGAGAGGGTTTTCAGGGAGCCAGGCCAGGATTGTCAAACCCTGAACCCCTAAACCACTAAACCACTAAACCACTAAACCACTAAACCACTAAACCACTAAACCACTAAACCACGAAACCCTAAACCCTAAACCCGATTTCAGGTCTTTCACGCCCGCAGAAAAGAAGTCGAAAACCGCCGAGTGTTTCAGCAACGGCTGAGACAAAGGATGCCGATTTCCAGCCCTAAGCCCGAAAACCTGACCTCGGCACTCTAATTGTAGGGTTTCGGGTTTAGGGTACGGGGGTTCGGGGGTTCAAGGGGTTGAGGGGTTCAGGGGTTCAGGGGTTCAGGGGTTCAGAGGTTCAGGGAAGAGGGTTTAGGGTTTAGGGTTGAACTCGAAACCACAAACCCCTCACGCCAAGACCGCAAACTTTATTTTGGCAATGCGACCGCGTGCTGTGCACTCTGTGATCAGAGGACTTTAAGGCCTGAGAACCTGACGTCTTAACCCTCAGCCTTGAAACGCCCGACGCCCTGACCTACTATAGCTGCTGGTCGGAAAAATAAGGATAATATTCCTTATGGTCCCAATATAATCGGACTATAATAGCCCCCAAAACCTTCTTTTATTTGTTAAGGCGCCTATATTAACCCCAAAGGCTGAACAAAGAGCCTCGAGACAAAGCTTCAAGAGCTTAAAACAAAACGCACACAGCACAACCCCAAACCCTGAACAGAACCACAACTCACCCTAAACCCTAAACCCTAACCGTAAACCCTAAATCCTAAACCCTACACCCTAAATCCTTTGTGCGCTGCCCCCCACCCCCTCCCCTGCCTGGGCTGCCCTTTGGTGGGCGCAGGTCCCGCGCGCTGAACACAAGGCCAGGCCTCCCAGATTCCCAGACGCTAAGGCTCAGGTTCCAGGTTGCATTTAGGGTTTATGGTTTAGGGTTTAGGGTTTAGGGTTGAGGGTTGAGGGTTGAGGGTTCTAGGTGATCGGTTCTAGGGTCTGGTGGTAAAAGGTTATAGGGTTACAGGATTAAGTCCTCAAAGTCAGATTCCGCGGTGTTCTTCGCCGGGATAGGTTTGAGATTTAGGATGTAGGGGAAGCCGGGAAGCCCTATAAGCCCCGAAGCCTCAGCCCTAAACCTTAATGATACACCTGCAACTGCACATAAGCCCAGCGTCGCTTTGCCCGGGGTTGGGGAGAGTGTGAGCTGTGAGGCTGTTGTTTTTTCTTTAGATTCTAGAGCCGCGTAGCTTGTCCTGTGGGGTTGAGGGTTTAGGATTTGAGGATTTAGGGCGTAGGTTTCGAGCCAAAGCATTGCACTCCCGCACGATTTGCGGCTCCAAGTCTTTGAAAGGACACTTGGAGGTTCATGGGTACTCATATAAACCCCAGTTATAAGCCTACTTAGAACCTACCGAGGGGACTCAGGGGACTTGGGGGGGGGGGGGCTTTAGAAGTGCAGCCTTTAGGGTTTAGGGTTTAGGGTTTAGGGTTTAGGGTTTAGGGTTTAGGGTTTAGGGTGGAGGTTCTAAGTACCCTGAACCTCCAAGTAGGGTTCGGAGAGCCGCATGCCGCGATGCTTGTCCGGAAGACGCCGGACACCTCTGGAACGGCACGCTGAGTCGCTGGCAGATGTGGACGATGCTCCTGGGCGGTTTGGGGTTTCAGGGTTTTCGGGTTTCAGGGTTTGAGGGCCTTAGGGTTTTGGGTTTCAAGGTTTTGCTGTTTAGGGTTCAGGGTTTAGGTTTTACGGTCCTTTCCATGTCTTCGGAACCGAAGTTGAACCACAAGCCTGGCACCTAGCGAATTGAGGCAAACTAAAGCTCTAAGGGTAGTTACATGGGCCCTTCATGTGGTCCCTTACCTCCTTTGAAGTATGGGCCCTTAATTTGTAT